CCAAGTGGGCCCACCCCACTATTACTGATCTACTGTAACACTAACAATCAATGTCATCCACGTTTCTGTGTATTTATTTATTTTTTGTAAATTCAAAAAATAACTACAAAACTTACCGTCTCCTAATTTAACATCAACAAAGTCAAAGAACCCGACGTGAACTCGTAATGTCTTTTAACAGTTGTTGTTTAAATTAAATTTGCCAGCCGTGAGTGCAGCAGCAACAACTCATCCACAGATAATATGCAAGACACTTGAAGATCTGTGGAACTTTATGCGCGCGTCCATGAAATAAATCTAAAGAGTGTTTTTGTTGAAAGGAAAGAACTATTAAAGATGCAAAGTTTGACTATTACCAAAGCGAGAACTTATGCCTAACTAATATCATTATATGGCTCAAAAAGAACTGCATTGACTATAAATATAATTGGTAAAGAGACAAGGAAAAAAGCATGTGATCAATTTAAAATTGTACTTTTTTCCCTTTTTTAAAATGAGCCTCTGACTCAGAAAATCTATTAAGATAAATCCAACAGCTCTAACAAGCAATTACTGTCAAAGTGAGATTTGATAAAAGACAAAAAACCTCTGTCGGTAATTGTCCATGCGCTCCCTCTGCTTCTTCTGGAAAAAAAAAAAAAAACACGGTGGCTTACTTCACATTGTGCACTTAACAGGCTTCAACTGGTCGATGATGAGAAACGACTTGGTCAGAAATTATTTTAAATTATTTCCCCCATTCCACAACGCCTTGATGTGATGGCTATACCATGAGCGCATTACAGCAAATTATGTATTGATTCATGATGAATGGAATTAGGTCAGCGCTTCAACATTAATTAGTCCGAACATTTCTCTCTATTAAAACACCAAGGAGGAAACATAGAATGTCGTAGATCACAGCTTAATTACTTTTTCTGCATCAACTTGTCCTTGGGATAAAGTTGCCATATAAACCTGGCAAAACACTTCACAAAACCACTTGGCAAAAAAGGATGACCGCCTCGTTGCCCCTGGCACAGCCCCCTGACATAACCTCAGCTTTTACTCACGGCAGGAATGGCTTTTTCACATTCTCCACCGTGAAACGGAATATTCAGTTCCATCCAGTGTTTTTCATCCCTGCCTCGCGGTTTGATTGGAGGGTGTCTTGACTTCATCTTTATGCAAAGCGCACTGATGAAGCAGCCACTTATCATTAAGTGGCTGGCGTTGTCATACATCAGGGTTTCGTGTTATCAGCTAATATATGCAATATTAATCCAGACAAGGTCCCAGGCCTGGTCTTTATGAATACCTAATATCAGGTGGAGGTATTAATTCAAAACCATGCCTGGGTCTCCTGATTAGGAGAGAAACAGGTCGGTGTCAAAACACCGTCGTGCCTCCTGTATTAAAAGTCATACATTTGGTACTTAAATTAGTTTAATATAGTTTTTTTTTTAAATAAGTTTTTATTCATCAATTTCTAATTTGTCATTTATTAATTTGTTGCTTCATGTAAACCAATGTTTCCCAAACTTTTTTTCTTGGGACCCATATTTTAAAAGTCACAAAACTTTGCGACCCAAGTCAATAGACATTATTCGTAAACTCCTGGAAAACATGATGCGAGACGACCCATCTCTTGCGACCCACCTGAGGGTCACGACCCATTCTTTGGGTAAAATGATGTAAACCACTAAGTACTTTGTACTAGTGGTTTACATCATTTGGTTTGATCAACGCTAATACATTATTAGCATTGATATTGATCGATACTAGTGTAACGATATTGGTACTTTAGTTTTGGTTTCCTCGTGGTTGTCTGTGTCTTAGCTAGCATACTTTGGTCCTCCATTTTTTTTTCGTGTGTTTTTATGAGGCTTAATCATGTGACTTCATGCTAACATCCATTTCTGGAAAATCATCGAATTTTCCAATAGTGTTCAGCGATAAATACTTAAGTATTGACAGACCTTCAATCTGGTCAGTTCTCAACCTTCAGACAGACGTGATCAATAAAATATGAGGAGTAAGGTGAACCTGTTGTAATCACTGGTTGAGCAGAATAAATATTTTTGCCAATATTATATGTTTAGGTTAGCAGCGAATGATATAAAACCTGAGAATCAGGTAGTTGAAGAGAAAAAAAGGATGGGGGAGGGTGGAGAAGAGTGTTGAGGCAATTGTCAAGTTGTTGCTCTGTCACAGTATGTGTCATGTTAAAAGGAGTGGGGGTGAATGAGTCTCTGACCACAGGGAAAAAAGCTATGTGTGTGGGGGGGTGGGAGGGGCTTCGAACAGGTCCTGTGTTTGACTCGACGTGTGCTGTTAAGAAAAGATTCATAAAAATATTCAAAGTTTCTCCGCGATTGTCCCATGTTTCCTTTTCGCAGACGATTTATGTTCCTCAACCAATCGTCATCTTTGCCCATTGGCCCGTTTCTCTCCACCTTTGTTTTTTAATATCAGTTTGATATGATATCAAACTGGTTAAAGTTATACTTATAATAGACAAGTGGACTAGTGGATTATCTTTCGTACCAAATGTTGATTATCGAAAGTGTTACCGTTTAACCTAATTTTTTTGTTGTTTTATAAAAGAGACCCAAAAACAACCTTTCTTTTTATCCCCTGTAACATGAATAAGAAATGCAGCAAAATGTAAGTTTCTATTCTTTACATCTTAAAAAAAAAGAAATTAAAATCAGCTAATCATCTGCATAAACTGTAATTATATATTGATGAAAACGATGTGGAAAAAAAGAAACAAAATAGAATTTAAAGCAGTTTAATAGAAGCAGGTGAAGGAAGAGAAGAAAAATGTGGAGAGTGATAATAAGTGTCCCTCTCCCTCAAAGTCCGCCCCCCCCCCACCGCTTTGACGTCAGAGTCTGAGAGACACAAAACAAGCTGCTCTCAGCTGAGCCTCTCACTCCTTTTCCATCCTCACCCGCGTGCTCACCATCAGACAAACCACTTACCTCGGACGCCACTCAGTTTTCTGCCACTCAGTGTGGATGTGACAGCACAACTGTCTGGCAGGGACCCCCTCTTTCACTACTCAGGACTGAAACCTGCATTTCGCTGCACGTGAGTGATGCCTGATTCTGGCTGAAGCTGCCAAAGAGAGCGAAAGAAGTGTTCGGACACCCCAACACCTCACCCCCGACCGGCAGATGTGATAGAAGAGAAGTGGAGAAAGAACGGGGGGAAACACAACCTCCACTACCCCTCCCTCCTCATCTGGCAGAACAATAACTGCCTTCAGTTGGAGAGGGTCAGCTTTTGTTCCCGTCTCTGCTGAAAAGAGTAAAAGAGCAGACGGACGCACTGACACACTGACCTCCTGCTGCTGCTGCTGCTGCTGCTGCTGCAAACACTGCGGACTGCGCTGATTCCTTCAGTACTTGGACAGCTCCCGAACAACAGTCGACGGGACCGTTTTCTCCACCATGTCTCTGACAGCTGACCGACTCAAGGCGGTTTCGTTCGGAGAACAGAAACTCCAAATGCAGCCGCCGTGTTCGCTCCATCCCGGGACTTCGCTGACCTTCGACTCTCAGAGCGGCACGGGCAGCCTCCACCAGCTGGAGGAAAAACAGCTGTTTGAGAAGTTTTGGGAGGGCACTTTCAAGGCGGTGGCCACCCCGAGACCGGAGAGCGTGATCGTGGCCAGCATCACCTCCCGAAGGAGGGTGAATGAGTGAGTACCGGAGGTTTAATTTAGGGTTTTCCCTCTGATTATTGTGTCCAGCTGGCTGAGACGCGGGACTTTTACTGTAGGGCATTGGTATGAAAGAAATGTCTACCTGAGGGCATCACTGACAACAAATACTTTTTTATAGCTACATAAATCTCAGAATACATGTAAATATGCATGTATACATTCCTAAATTTCCCGAAGTAAAATCCTGAGGGATTAATAAAAATCTATCTATTTATCTATGTCTAACATTTGCATCCTAAAAAGTCCCGTTTTATAAAAATATAACTTTTTTTTAGCTCTTTTCTAAAGTGATTTCCCTTGTGTTTAACATCGAGACAAACCCGGTCATCATCGTGTCATTTGATTGCGTTGTCAGATACTGTACACCACGATCCTACATTGCGCAACACAGTCCTGCCTACTGCCACCTGTTGGGTGTTCCCGTATGTATTGTAATGTATTGCCTTTGTTCATTTCCCATCAGTCATGGCAGCTTGAGACTTTTACTTACAAGTGTGTATAATATGTCTGTCCTTTCATCCATTTGTTATTGTCTTCACCACTTATCCCTGAAAACCATTTCTGCTGACAGTGGTGAAAGCCAGGTCACAGTCTAAACCAGGGGTCCTCAACCCGAGGTCCGCAGTGGGACACAGTAAAAAAAAAACTACTTTGGTTTTACTTTCCTTTTTTTATTCAAAGATAATCTGGCAATTTTTCTAAACAGTCAACATTCAGCTGATATCGGACAAACTGTCCTTGGTACAAAAAAAGCTTGGAGACCGCTGGTCTGAACAGGTCGTTAGTCTCAAAGACCCCACACCGTAAATGGTGTCGATATCCTAGTTCAGGTTCAAGTACTGGTATGTGTGTGTAGTCAGACGCCTGAGACATGTGACGGTCCAGAGCCCAGTGTGGTGGTGGTGGTGGCGTTTACCTAATTGCCCCCTTCAAAGGTCATGTGGCAGGATCGTCCAACCTCTAATGTCAAGACTGTTTGGTCGTGCATCATGTGACAGGGCTTGATGCCAGTGTTTGTTGTGGAGCAGCAACGTCGTCACAGGTTTGTTTCTCCACCTCCACCTTTACTCGTCCTCCAGAAGGTAAGCGGTGCAGCAGCCGTGAAGGAGAACGCGGGGGTAAAAAGATGGATGTTTGTTGCCCTTTACGCTTTGCCGGCGTTGTCCCCGTGTTTCCTGTTCCACTCTGGGCTTTCGTTCAAATGATCTTACTTTGTGATCTTCATCTGTAATTTGAGAAGCCAAGGATTAACACAATCAGACTCTTGAATTTTTTTTTTTTCCGCTGACATATCTACGCATCAAATGATGCGACTCGCTCGGGCGACTGTTGAGTAGTTCTGTCACATACTGTCAACTTTGTCTTATGTGAAATTAGCTACGTTAATGAGGATTAGAATGGGCCATTTCATTTGACACCAGCACGGGCAGCAGAAAGACACACTGAACCAGATAATGCGCCTTTAATGACTTCTATTACAGCAGGCCATCAAATGGCCTGGTGATAATGGCCTTTATTCGCTCACCATATAGGACGGAACACTGTCTTTCTTCACGAATGTGAGCAGACACGTCTTAAAATAATTTTTGTCTTGTTTAACCTGAATTTGCCGTCAGTCAACCGTTTTTACATGTTATAGCTGCTCTTTTAGTTTTAAATCCCATGTGAAGAGAACTCTGCTGCTCCGTGTGGACAGTCTGGGTGATGGAGACAGTAGATGGTGACTGTAGTGGACAGAGCTATAACAATATGTCCAAAGAGGGTGGACATAATGTCTCTTATTCAATTTTGTCCGTTAACAACGTAAACATTCTTCTCCATTCCATTCCTGTTTCAATACCTTCTGATTCTGCTTTACCCACGACCCTTGAACTGCCACCAACGTGGCTCCGACAAGTACCCCAAACCATAGCTTTATTGTTAATCCTCCTCTTTGAATAAAATACCTTTTCTCATGTCAGATTTTTTTTAATACTCAGCACTCAGATCTCTATATTGCAATAGAGAATGCTACTGAGCTTTGTCCATCATATAGATCATCGCTTCCCTAAACCGGGTCGCGACCCTCAGGTGGGTCGCAAGAGATTTTTTTTTGGGTCATCTCGCATCTTGTTTCCCAGGAGTTTACAAATAATGTCTGTTGACTTAGTTCACAAAGTTTTGTGACTATTGAGATATGAGTCCCTAGAAAAAAGTTTAGGAAACACTGATATAGATAGAATTTCATGAATCCCTCAGGAGTTCCCTTTGGAAAATCGATTAATAATTGTTTCTTCACTTTGGCGTTGTCGTTTAGTTGATTTGTTTGCATCTCATAACTTTTGTCTTGGCATTAAAATGTTGCCAAGATTCCTCACTATCTACCTAGTCCTACTTTGTCAACATGTTTTTGTCAACAAGTTTTTTTTTGCACTTGTTGCATTCAGTACAACACCGCCTGTGTATCTTGGGTCGGTAATATACAGGCGTAGAATCACAGATGGGCATTTTGGGTAATTCATACTGTAAGACTGAGAGAGGTAACTTTGCTGAGACCATCAGGATTCACAGCCTCTGGCCTAGTCCTTCGCTTCTTCCTCTGCGAGATGGAACGTCATTATTCACTGTAGATAACTGAGGGCTGACGAACAGTTGCAGTGAAGGCGAGGAGGCATGATGTCCAACCAGAGGAGAGGGGGAAGAAACAGAGAGCCACAGGGGGATGTTTCACATTCAATCAGCGCAGGTCTGGTTTTTTCTTCCATTGTATATTTCCCTTCTTGCCTTTTTCTTTTTCTTTTCTGCTCCTTCTGCCGTTTATTTGGTCCCTGAAATAAAAAACGCTTCAGGGTCCGGACGGCCACTGAGGAGTAATTAGACTTTGTTGTTCTCCCCTCTTCTGTCCTCCCTGTTTCTTCCTCTTTGGGCCAGTCACACAGAGGAGGGAGGAGTCGACTGGCTCTGTGCTGTGGACCATTATTACCCTGCAAGCTGTTTTTGTTCATGG